TAGGCGCACCTTGAACAGTTGCACGAACGGCATAGCGCGCTTATCCTTGATCAGCCCGCGCTCTATCAGCACCGCGCGCACCCGTGCGTCGTCGACCCGCGCGGCTGCGGGATCCCACGCTGCCTGCACCGCTTGCACGCACGCGTCCTGCCACTCTGGGAAGCGCGTCGCGACGTACACGCGGACTGCGCGGGGTTTCTTCGGGTCGAATGGCAGCGTTTGGCCGCCCTTGGCCTTGCCGAGCTTCTTCAGCAGCGTCAGCTCTGCGTCGCGCACCGTCTTGACCAGCGTGCGCATGTACGCGCCTGCGTCGATCGTCGGCGCGTCTACTGCCCGTGCCGGTGTTGGCCAGCGCGCGTGCTGGATCGACGTCGATTGCTGTAGGATCCCGCGCCAGATGTGCTCGGCAAAGTGCGGTGCGATGGGCGAGGCGAGTACCGCCGCGACGGTGATCCAGTACCTGACCAGGTCCGCGTGCATGCCAATGTCCGCGGTCACTTCGCGATACCAGTCGCGGGCTGACTGCAGCTCGTAGAAGCCGTATTTCATGGCGTCCTTGTAGAATGTCCTAGGCAGGCCGTGTACGGTCAAACAACATATTTAAAGAAAGTAAGAAAGAGAGTAGCAGCATACAATTCGTAATGCTCTTTGGTGATGTTGATCAAGTTGTTGATCTCCTCCTCGAAGACTTTGTCGTGGTATGAGTCTTTAGGTCCTGTGCGCAAGCCTGCTGCATCTTTGGTCATTTCCTGGAAGTAGTTGTGAGATACATGGCGAATGTCAACACGATCAGCGGACTTACCTCGCACCACGTCAATAAAGTGTGTAAGCGCAGGATGTTCGCGTTCGCGTTCTTCTCCTCAAAGTTGGCGTCCTCAATGCCGTCGCCTGCGTCTGCCAACGCTAAGCGCGTCGCGTCTGCGCCAAACTTCTCTACGCTGTCTCGCAGCGTCAGCGAGTTTCCCTTGCTCTTGGACATTTTCTGTCCATTCAACAACAGGTGACCATTTGCGCGCATGCTCAAGGGCCACTTGCTCTCGGGGAAGATCGCTGCGTGATTGTAAACAGCAAAAGACAGATGGTTGTTGATCAAATCTTTGCCAGATGAGCGCACGTCGAACGGATAGAAATATTCGTATTCGTGTTTCAGAGTGTCGGCCTTCTCCTTTGGTAAAGGAGCGTTGGCGGGCCATGGGCCGTCAACGAGAATGTACTCCCAGATCTCGTCCGTCAGTTGTTCTGGCGCAATGTCCAACTTGCCGCGGACCTTGCCATCGATAGACCCTACGGTGCTGTCAGCCAAGAGACTAAAGGCATGAATCCATACGAACCATGCAGCAAGTGCGCGACCGTGTAATAGCACATGTAGATAGTGGAGTCGCTCAAAGACTCAACCAAGAACTGCGGGTCCCACGGCAGCACTGAGCCCAACCCATATGTTCGGGCGCACGCCCACTGATTCAGCCAAGCCAAGGTGCTCTCAAATCCATTCCGCGTCTCCTGGAAGTATGTGTTCATTCGGGCCAGCAGGCTTCATAAGAACAGTAATGAGCTTGAAGATCTTGGGGGTTAACAAGGGGACGCACCGCTCTGCCTCCGCCCTCCATTTCGTCTCGCCATAGTCCAGATACCACTGGTCCATCAGTGCGACTACACACTCGTCGGCGCTTCTCGAGATCACCAGGCCTTCGGGCTCCGCATACGCAAACGCCACTCCTTGTGCGATCATGCTGGCGCGTACTTTGTTCTTGGCCTCTTGCACCGGCTCACCTTTGAATTCACCGATAACCATCGTGCCGTTATAGAAGCCCTCTTTGTACGCCAGTTCTTTGGCTTCTGCCAACTGCTTGACGTCCTTCTGTGACACGATCTTCAGCTGTTTGACCAATGCAGGTGCAGACATTTCGCCATATGCAGGAGTCGATAGAACAGGGACGGGGTCGAAAGCAGCCCATGCAGGGTCGATTTTGTAGTACTCTGCCTTCTTGCGAAGGTCCATAAGGGTGGCGTAATCATCGGGGGAGTCAGACGGGACAGAGGTGACGACACCAGTGCCCTGGTGAGATCGTGAGCTCAGAATTCACCGTTACCAGCAGGGTCGGAGAGATTGTACCTTGGTGGGAAGGACATTGTCCATGGGCAGAACGTACACCTCGGGGTACACCGAAAACGGCGCCTTGATTTTCGAGCCGACTATTGCGGTTCCCTCCAATTCGGCCAATTGATTCACCTGCCCACGCACGTCGAAGATGCCCTGGAAAGTCATGTTGCGCGCTGCGCGCTGGGTGCACACGTACGCCTCGCTGTCGTTCGCAGCGAAAACGCCGTACTTGATAGCAGTGCCCACGAAACAGTTGGTTTGACCGTACCTGAACTGATATATCAGGTGGATCATTCGCCTCGGACAGACAGAAAATCCACGCACATCGTCTCTGGACGCAGCGTCGCGGCAACCAAGTATACCTTTCTGCCGCCCAGCTTACCCTCCAACGCTTTCTGTGCCGCAGAACTCCACTCGATGACTTGCATCTTGACGCCGGTATATTCTTGTGGGCCGATGCCCTCGCCATCGGCACGATCGTGGTCCATACAGGGCTGACCGTCTTTCGGGCTGTAGATAGTGTAGCGTTCGCCGAATTTGATCTTGCCTAACGCGTGGAGTTTGTTCATCTGCCAGCGCACAAATGTGTCGTAATAAGGGTTTGCTGGTGTCGTCATGAAAGAACGACGCCAGTCTATGCGCGTCCCCAAAGCATGGTGATCTGCCTGAATACGCCAATGGTCTGTGGGAACTAAGGAGAGGATGAATAAAACTCACGATCGCGATTGGAGGGAAGTAGGTCAGCCAGTAGTATGGATCCGCAAATTTTTTGATCTCGGAGCGCGGTACACCGATAGACTCCATGATTTGGAACTGATATGTGAAACCCGTTGACTTGGCAGCCAGCTTTCCTTTCTTCCCTTTGTCGACGCGGGGGCCAGAGGGATTACTCAACTCGGCTGTCGGCTCTTCATCGAGTTCCTCCAATGTCTCAAATTTTTCGAAATCCTGGCCAAACATTCCCATCTCCCGAATAATTTTGTCCGCGGATGCCTAATGGCACACTCAGGACAGGTCCAAGACGGGAGTAGACGGTGACACACCTTTATGGGCATTCCGGTTACATGGAACCCATGGGGGAATAGGACGCGCTTGCCCAGCAGACGCTGGTATCCCGCCGCGAACTCGATTTTTGAGATAGTGAACGCATGGCCCAGGTGCAAAGACCCGTTCATGTAAGGGTAGGGGAAGTTCCCAAACCATTTGGGAAACTTTTTGTGGATTTGTGCAGGGCTGAGGCCTGCTGTTTCTTCTTGTGTTGGCGCATCGGTTTCAAAGATGTGCGCCTGTTCCCACTCGTCCTGATACTTCTTCTCCAGGGACTTCAGGTAGTCCCGTTTTCCTGTCTGTCAAACGACTTGATCATCAGCGACCAAGCTAACAACACAAGGAGATAGGCACCTGGGCAAGTTCGATGATGTTTGACATATGTGGAGAGGAAGAGAAAGATCTTGATTGTACAACTATTTTACAGTAGCTCTGAGAGCGCAACACGCGACGCCGAAGAGCGTGTATTGTGCTAGACGAAGTGAGTTGCAGATACAGATCGGTCGGTCTTCTTGCGCAAAACAATGCGATACCATCAAAACCACTCCGAGTCATTTCCCTTAATAGGTATCTTTGCCCTTTTATGTAATTTTCATTTTCGCTCAAACGCGCTGTCACGAGATGTCACATATGTGACAAGTCGCGTCGCGTCAACGACTCCCGTTTAGTACAGTACTTCGTCTGCATGCCTGGTCCACAGAATGCAAAGAAGAAAAAACGTGCTCAGCAGAAGAAGCATCACGCCAGGATTCACTCGTCGATAGCAGCACAGAGAGTGCACCCTGCCTCCCCGGATCTCTCCTCCTCGACTCTTGTAACGTTACCGTCACCTACGATTGCTGCACAGGAAGCTGATGAAGTTGAAACTCTGTGCCCAGACCCCCATGTAAAACCTTCTGGTCATGAGAACAGTAGTCCCTCTTTTCATGGCACGCCCTACGGACCCCCGGATGACCCGACACTCGTCCTCCTCTCCAACCCCATTATCGTCAACCACGGCAATGGCCCCCGCGTGCGAGACATGCGCGCCTTTCTCCATTCGTGGTTCGCCCAGCCCGCCTGGACCGCAGATCCACTTTGCGCAGAGTTCGCCCAGCGCGAGATCCTGCAGATGCTCTGCACCGTGCTCCCCGAGGAGACTGCCCTCGTACGTCCCTTTCTCGCTGCGCTCCCGCTATGCCAGCCACCCACGAATAAGAGCTGACAACCGTTCTCGCTCTGTGTGCATATTAGTGCCTATGGTACAACAAGAGCAGACGTTTTGGGCGCGTCTGCCCCGCCTGTCTCCGTCCCTATTCGCTGGCCGATGCACCACCCGATGCACCCACCCTCCTCCTCTCAGAGCAGATCATCAGCGGACTTTGCTCCCCGATATGTTTCTTCCTGGCCTCATCCTGTACGCCAGCCATTGCCGAAGTGACGTTGGGTCGCATGGCCGAGGACCTCGAGGACGCGACATGGGAGCTGCTTGACCGCGCTGGACCCACGCGCTCTGTGAAGGAAGAGGTTGGGGTAGAGGCAAGCGTGGCAAGCGTTGGCTTGACGATGCTGCTCAAGATGACAAGATTACACGACTTGGGTCTCGCCCAGTTGTGTATACCCGAGTTGGTAATCGATGAGGACGTCCACCCGACTCAGACACGGCAAGATCAAGGGAAATTCGAAAGGGAGGGGGTCTGCGCATACGTGAACAAAGTCTGTTGTAATGTCCCTCAGTGTGTATCGTAGCGGTGTCACTAGTACCCTAGTCATACCACTCCATTTACCTATCATACATTAATTTCCCGCTGCTGCTGATATTCAATTTCATCAATTGATAGTTCGATTACACTTTCAATCGTGAGATCACTATGCCCGCCTAGCTCAATCGGATAGAGCGTAAGACTTTTACGGCAGTGGTGGCATTCCCGCGAGATCTTAAGGCTGCGAGTTCGACCCTCGCGGTGGGCTAGTGGAATTTTTTTCTTTTTTCTTGAAAAGAGCACACCATCTGACAACTCTAATTTATGGGTATTGATTCAATTCAAAGTCCACTCTACTCTATCGACTAGATCTCACAGACGGGAACAAACGTACATATTCAGAAATGAAGTGGAAGTTGGACTAGTCAAGTCAGCTTCCTTATCAGATCGCGCGCCGACGGCAAGCGGGGCATCCTGCTGCGCTCTACCACTTCTCGCGGTGCCGCCTGGACAACCTCGCTCGCGGGACGCTTCGGTCCCACTCCCACTCCCCCTTCCGCAGCCCGCCGTACGGACGTGTACGCAGGAGGATCCGACGCCGAACGGGTCGGCGGGCGACGGAAGAAATGCTTCAGCTTACGCGCAGACGAAGGCGCAGGTGCAGCAGGCGTCGGGGTGGCGGGAGCCGGCATCGAGCGCCGTTCGTCGACAACGCGGCCGCCCCCTCCCCCGCCTCTATTTCCCTGCTGTGTGTTGGAAAAGTATGGGGGTTTTCCAGCGGTAGCAATAGCAGGGGCAGGTGCGGCAGCGTGCGCACCCGGAAGCGTCCCTGGCCCACTGTACCCGGGCAGTGGCGGCGGGGCATTCGGATCTGGCGACCTAGAATCGGAGGTGGGCTGTGTCGTCCGCGTGCCCAATGGAGGTGCTGCGATGGCAGCGGCGGTCGACCTGGCCTTCAGAACTGGCAGCGCTGACTTCATCGGGACGCGGGATCTCGGCGGCGTGGGCGGAGAGGCGGGTGTGTCTTTGGTTTTGGCTTCGGTCGGCTGGCGGGCTGTTGCTGCTGCTGCGAGACGCCTGGCGATGCCGCTGCGCGTGGGCCGCGTGGGCTCCCTGTCTCTGAGAGCGGCGAAGAAGGCGCGCTGGCGCGAGCTATGAGCGCTCGTGGTGGGTGGCGGGGGCGGTTTGCTGTGAAAGCCGTCTGCGGGCTGCAAAACGGGAGACGTCGAGCTGCCAGACAAGAACTCCGGCGCCAACTTGGCGAGTGTGATGATGTGTGCGTCAGTCAATCAATCGACCGAATGGCGAAGCGGGGGCGGAGCGCGCGAACGCACCTCGGGTAGGTATATGCACGCTAGGCTTTGCTCGGAAGGGCTGGAAACCACTACCGAAGTGGACGTAGCGGGGAATTTCGCTGACTCTTCTTGGCAGATAGGCTCGGGTTCTGGTTCAACGAGGCGACACTTCTCCTTAGCCAGGGAGTACCCGCCGTCGATCGCATTCACGGTGGTAGGAAGAGGAGGTTGCAATAGCTCCGCCGACCCGGTGGCAGGAGCAGCGGCCCTCTTCGACGACAAAGATTCCGCAGAGCACGTCACCACTATTCTCGGGAGCGCCTGGCCCAGTTCGAGGGCAAGGTTTTCTAGCTCCTCGAGCATGTTGACCATATCTTCCGGGAGTCCGCTCGCGGGAACGCGCAAACTCCAGCGTCGTCCTTCCGCATCACAAATTTCTTGAACGAAGATCGTTCCCTCCGACGCGTGCTCACGTAGAAGACTGAATCGATGCGGTGCTGGCGCCGCAGAAGGGTCGACGGGCACGATGGACGCACGGCGAAAGAGGGACGTCGAGAGGGTTCTTCCGGGGCTGTCATCTTTCTTAGAGGGAGGCGAGGACTCGGAGAGTATGCTATCGAAGTGGAAGGGATCCTCGTCTTCGCTATCCGTGGGTGGTGATCGTCGGCGACTGCGCTTACACGGGCCTTCCCGCTTCATGAGGTTGGTGACGCTCATATTCGACTTCAACTCCTCGTAGCCAGACGGCGACCTCGTATTCGACTGTCTTCAAATCGGCGGGTATGAGGAAAGTGTTGGATAGCGGGCGAGGTTAGAGCACTTACTCTCCGTCCTCGGGCACTGGATTGCACCGTGCGGGGGATACTAGGGTGCCTCGTTCCCGGTTTTCGTTCTGATATATTGTCCATCAAAGTATTTGGGGTCTGAGAAGGGAGACTTACAGAAACGAGGGAGAGCGGCTTCTGTACATGGCTAGCGTTGACTTGGAATTGAGAATCAAGGGTGGCCTTGGGGGTGTTTCTCTGTCTGATTACTGGTCTCGGGATGCGGGGATAAGTATATGGCACATTCTGACAAGCAGTGCGGGTAGAAGAACGACGCCCTCGCCCCACTGGCGGGGGAGCTCGCGCCTCCACCACCTGAGCAGGAGTGTCGTTGGGAGAGAAAGCCGCGACGCCCTGCTGAACATTATCCGGAGTAACCATCTTGAAGGATAGAAAGGCTAGTTTGTATTCAAAAGAAAGGTATAGAGTAGAGATGCGACTGGTTAAACAGCGGGCGGTGCGGCTGGCAGAGAACGAAACCACAAAACTGAAGGAATTCATACCAAAAGAAAGATATTAGAGATTTGATTGCATTTTTCAGGTGACAGAAGTCAACCACGCATCAGAATATCAGACACAGTGCGTGTTCTGGCGCCGGGCACCAAAGACCGCCCCTATTATGAAGTCGAAATCAGCCCTAGTTTCGTTGTCGGTGAGACATGATCCGCGCACACGAAACTGAGAACGTTGACACGGGGCTAAGAAGTCGTACCAGTTTAATACCAGCCCATCGTGAATATAGCTCACGCCTTCGTTCCCGCATCGGACCAAGCACGTAGAGAGACCTCAGTGCCTCAGCGTCGATATAGTGGGAATTCAGTGCATTCTTAAGCACCGATACGAGTTTTTATAGCTGCTCGGTAGGAGCCCATGTCCAAAATTCAGATCAATAAGAAATGTGTGCCAGATTGCTCGGACAGACGAGTAACTTGGCCGAGCCCCGGGCCACCCGCCATTGGACGCATCGGTAAGACGATCACGAAAACCAACCTCTTGGTTTAAAATCCTCTTCTTCCTTGATTTCTCCATCCCTTTTCTTCCTCAAATACTCTAAAATGTCCTTTACACCTTCGGAATCTCCAGCAGATGCACGACCATTCGTCCAGTCGACAATGATCGGCCATTTTATTGCTAGAGGACTCTTCTGAGCGAGACGTACCAAGCCTTCCGGAGAATGTGGCCTGTCCGGTAAAGAAGGGGCGGAAGGATGAGAGGATATGAGCGCAACAACGTGATGTGGATCATCGACGTCGCGAAGAGGTGGGAGGTAGTCTAGGATCGTACGGATCTGGTCCGCAGTGGGAGGAGTGTTTTCGATAACTTCCAAATTAAACTTGAGTGGAGGGGCAGACGAGACTCCTGGGGGATAAGGGGAAGATGCAGCAGCTCTTAGAATGGCGAGCGCCTTTGTCGAAGGGGGAGACGATGAGTTATGACTGGAGGGTGTTGTTCAGTTAGAAGATGTGTCGCGTAGAGAGGCAACTGCTTACAATATGGATAACTGGGGCTACGCAACGTAACTCAAAAGTAAGCCCATTGAACTTCTGGTCGCAGACGAGTCATAAATTGAAACTTACAATTGATCTTTTAAACGCGGAGAACATGACGATGGTGACTGCTGTTAAGTCACACTTACTGCAGTGCCAGTGCGAAAAAGTCGGTGATGTCATCAGTTCTGTTGGTTACCGGTCCGGGTAAGTTGCTTCGCCTTCAAGTTCTTCAAACGCTGAGTGCAACCTTCCCCTGCCAAGGGACTCCGACGTCAAAATATCGAAACAGGGGGGAAAAAGTGACCCCAGACTTTATACAACACATGTTTCTCCAATCTTCTATCCGCGGATAAATGGCCCAAAGCTTGCAAAGCCTTATGGTCACTCTTGTTCGCCCCATTCCTGTCCTTCGAATGAGATACATTGTCTTCAAATCCCGCTCGTGGAATGTAGGCCATGCCGTTCCACATGTTACATCAAGGCCCGATGTGTCAATTATATTGAACAGTACACTAGAAATTTACACTACTTTTTTACCTATGGAAGATGGTATAAGACGACGCAAAATTCTGCGTGGCAAGCTACTAGTACGCTTCTCGCTATCGCTGTGACTCTCGGTGCTACAACTCTGGCTGTTGGAGTCCACCAAATCCCATTCATCCTCAGCTTCTGAACCCTCCTCTATCGGAGAAATTGCCTGGGGTGCCTCTTCGTACGGAAGAAACGTCTGTGTTACGCTCGTTGAAGGGGGAAGCAGTCCTTCGGGTTGCTCCAAGCTGTTCAATTGCGCCTGGGTCTGTGCGAGGTTCTGTTCCAGCTTCTTGCGGCATTGCTCCATTGTTAGGCCTGTGGAAACCGATAATTCCTGTAGGGCCATACGATAATGGTTTCGGAGAGCTCCGTCCTTGGCTGCGGCAGGTTTGATCACGTCCAGTGCTCCCTTTGTCACATGTATAGTCAGCAGTTTCCCACCACGTACGAACGGGTTACAAGAGTACCTCGAAAGCATCCATTACAGAAGAAAGCGCACGAAGAACACTCGAAAACCGTTCAAGTGCTAGGGCTCCAGCGGAGGACGCTTTTAGATCTTGTTCATTTAACTTTGAGGCCTTCGGGAGAGAGAAGGCCCCTAACTTGAATAAGATGTCTTTAAAAGTCCTGTTCAATTGGTGTATGACGGTCATCAGTAGCTATCTTGTACACTATGAGTCGATGCTTACGTATGCAGGAGCTTGCAGGGACCTTCCAGTTCCCTGGCATTAACGGCATCTTTAAGGAGAACTTCATGAGTCAACGCGATAAATAATTCGGAGCAGCAGCGAGTTTCTTCGTCAGTCCGAACAGGTACACGTTGTGAGAAATCTCCGTGGAGCCCCAATGACTGGAGGAGCACTCTTGCCGCAGGTACTAGTCGGGTCTCTGCGTGCGGCAATAGGGTTGTACAGAGGAACCGGACTTGCCAGATCAGGGCCTATGTGGGGAACAGGAGTATCTCTATTCAGCAAGAGTAACAAAAGAAAACTAGAAAGAAAACGCACGTCGGGGGAAACACTGGCAGAGGGGTCCGACGACACTGCGACCGGCAGCGGATGCACACGGCGTGGGTACAACACATTCTTGCGACTCTTGTACGAGCTTATCGAGGTGACAGAATAGGGG